TGGATTACTGCCCAAAGTGGTGTTAAAACAATTCACGCACTTAAATTAAGCCTTTATCAATACGTGTCAACTTAGGGAGGTAAGCCTGAAGTTATTGTGGTGTGTGTGTGCCATTCTGAAAATGCGAGTGGTGTATCCACACTGCGGATTCAACTTGATTATTTTCCTAGGTTTTCCAACACTAAGCTGTCGAGCCGTGATACAACTGAAATATTGTTCAAACATTTAAAAAAAACACGCTGCGTCACAGCGCAATTTGGGAATTCTCCCAATGCGGAAGTGTCTGACTATATCTTGACACACACAGAGTTTATTAGATTATATACCTCGTAGTCAACATGTGGCATTGTGTGGTCATGCTGTATCTACTACCTGTATACTGTGAATATAATTGTCACATGACTAACATAAGTATATGTGTGTGTGTGTGTGTGTGTGTGTGTGTCCTTGCGTGCGTGCATGCGTGTGTGCGTGCTTGTGTGCGTGCGTGTGTGCGTGCGTTTGTGCGTGTGCAGGCCATTTTGAAAATGTGAGTGTGGTATCCATCTTAATACTGCGGAAGAGCATCAAACACACACACATCACATCCGTCTCTATATAATCGTGTACGCAGCGTTAAACCCCACAGAGTTTATAAGATTGTTTACCTCGTAGTCAACATGTGGCGGTGTTTTGTCACTCCTACCCGTATACTGGGAGTATAAAAGGCACATGAATACTGTCTGTCTGTTACATAAGCACAAAAGGGGGCAACCACTTTAATATTAACATATACAGTGACCTCAATGGGATGTATTCTTGTTGCAGTGAAGTCTACACTGTCATTTATCATTTCAGATCTGCGGACCAGGCCAAACTACGTAGGTATCATTCATGGTGTCATGGGAGATCAGCAGATGTCTGTGCACATGAGAATTGGACATGTTGCCATTGGAATCAACATCAGTGCTTATCATATCTCTCTAGGGCGGTCGGGTAGCCTAGTGGTTAAAGCGTTCGCTCGTCACGCCGAAGACCCGGGTTCGATTCCTGACATGGGTACAATGTGTGAAGCCCATTTCTGGTGTCTCCCGCCTTGGTATTGCTGGAATATTGCTAAAAGCGGCGTAAAACCAAACACACTCACTCACTCATATCTCTCTCAATATGATCTTGTCTTGGAACAGCATGGTACTCTTTGCGCATCTGAGAGTCCGCAGGTTGGGAATTAGCGATACGTCATCACTATTGGACATCATGTGAGAGTTACTTGATGGATGAAAAGAAACAGTTGGTGTCTGTGAGCAGATCCTCCCAAGGGAATGCTATTTGGACTGTATGGCCTTCCATATCATCTGTTGTGAGATCAGGATTTCAACTTCATTTTTATAACAGACACTTGCACACATGGGACATCTACCACAGACATTGTGTCTGGACGCCCCCATGGTGTGCAGGTTAAAATAGACCCCAAGAGTCGATATTGTACAGACCACCAAAACATAGATGGGATGTAGCTGCCTGTGGTGTTTAAACAAAAAAATAAAGTATACTTTTCAATATCAGTTTAACGCATTGGGTACATGTTATTATACCCGGTGTCTGAAAATGATGTTATAACCTTACATTTATGATTTATCAATAAACATATGTAACATGAAGTGTAGCCCTTAATTCCCATTCGTTTACTGCTACTGTCTGTGTCATATAAATGACAAAAGTAAAAGCCATCACAGTAGATACAACAAAACAAAAGAAATTAAACTTTACTCAAATAGAAAATTGATATATAAGACATGATAGTTTCACAAAAGTTCACAAAAGACTCTTCACTTCCTTCGTTAACGTTGGAGGTTGAAGGAGAGCATTCGCCATGAACAAATCCCATTGAGAAGGACACACAAATGTTTATAGAATGTTACAACTAAACAAATAATCTCAAAGAATAGTATCCTTTTAAGTTTGGTGTTCACTGGGCCCTGGGTATAATATAGGTGCCCGGAATATTAAACCGGAATCCCCACGGGGCACAACAATATTGTGAAACGAGATACTGGAGTATCTGTCAAAATGTAGCAGTTGTTTATTTCATTGAAATGCTGTTAACTATTTTCATATTGATGAGATATTAGAAGCCTATGTTTGCGCTTTGATATTTGAAGTGATAGGCCAGTTCCGTATCTTTCAGGTTTATTCGTTGAATTAAAAAAAACATACATTCGGACATTTCGAATTGTACACATATATATAGCGCCATCGAAACATTCCTGAAATAATAAAATAATTCGGATAGCTCTCCGTCATTTACACCTGAGATTGAATCATTTTCTGTTATAACTCGCCACCCCAGTGCTGATGGCCATGTAAGACATGTCAATGTATTTGTACGTAAAAGATCCTTTATTATTTAGTGTTTGGCAGGGTAATTCGTTGACGCATTGCTGCTCGGAACAATTACCTTGTATTGATAGACTTGCCGAAATCGTTTCGACTTAAGTCATGATTGAATTGATATACTAAACAACATTCAAAGATTAATTAGAAGCACATTAGAGATACACTTTTTTCAACGGTAATTAAGAATATACCCTGGACACAAACAATACCGTTTTAAAACCATTTTCCATTTGATGTTGATGAACATGATTTATGTGGTTTGTAGGATAATATTACCAACGCAGTGCTTCGTCTAACAAGTCGAACCAGAAATATATTATTTATAACGAACCTTGTCTGTCTCTCTCTTGAATGTGGTTAACCGGCTCAGTGTCTATTCTCTGTAATGGAAATGTTAACAGTTATCTAACTGTATATATGGAATACTAGATGTACAAAATGTACGTTTTGATTGTTCAGTATAAGTGAGTAGGGTTAAAAGGGTTCATGTTAAAGTAGTGAGTGTGTATTGGTTAACGGTATTACATTTATATTAAGACGTAGGGCACGGGGGCTTCCAGTCGTCTCAGGTGCCGTAATTCGCTGTGCAGAGTTGCGTCCATTGGTTCCTATAGTTCTAGGTTTTGTCAGCGCCGTACCCGTGCTCGTGAGAAACGTTTAAGACTTGCATCATTTCGGGATTTAGTACACGCCGTGATATGACTGGAATACTGTTCAAAGTGGTGTTAACACAATTTACGCACTTAAATTAAGCCTTTATCAATACGTGTCAAGTTGGTGAGGGAGGTAAGCCTGAAGTTATTACTAATATACACACGAGCACCACACCCAATTCCAATTTTGCCATTGTGGAATTGACCTAATACTGCTTTGGTTATGTAAATATTACACTGTACCTCAAAACATTAACAGGTAAAGGAAGCAATGGTTATTTAAGAATGCCTTAGACCTATCTGATACCGACATCCAGGCCAACATTGAAGAGTATTTCCCATTTTAAATGTATACACTATGACTGCATCTAATCCTGATATGGAAAATGTTGATCACTTGTAAAGCTGGAATGAGAATCTAACCGCTATATGTACATGTAGTACGGTGGTGCACAAAGGAGATTCCCCTTCGACGACGGGAAATATCGCTTTGGACGAGAAATAGTGGATTTCGGATCCCGGATACCAGTCTATGATCTTCGATTTGGGGTGAGGGGAGTAAATTGCATGTGTTGTGAAGGTATAAAAAAGAGTTGGATATTGAATGTAATCGTTTTTCATTAACTTGTCTACTACGCAATTTCATGTTTGCGTACATGAATCATTAGTATGGTTCCTGTCATGTGCATTCAATTCAGTTACTTGTTTTGTTGCTAATCTTAATGATCGGCCGTAGTGTAAGCTTTACTCACGCCAATACCTGTCTTTGAGTACTTAATATGAGTCTGAAAGGCCAAGATTGCTACTTTATACGACAACATTTTAAATACTGTCACACATATCATCCTGTCCTGAAATGTTGAAATTTCAGAACAAAAAATGTTGAACAAAATCATTTCAGTTACGCAGCTGTAAGCTGTTATATCATTGACATGTATATTTTTCAACTACAATTTCATGATTGTCCACGCCATCATAAAGCATAATAAACTCGTTTTATAATATATTGGATATAACTAGATTGTCACATTTAAGGCTATGATATATTATTTCTTCACATAATACATTTGTTGGTAATATTTATCTTCCTATGCTTCATTTTTTGCAATATTTGCAAACATCACCTGTCGTCAAAGGATTCTTTAAAAAAGTAAACATATAAATCTATTTTGTTTTGGTTAGAAAATATCCTATTGTATAAAAATCAAAACGAGTTGCACTTTATTTTGCCTTTTTACCACAGTGCCTGTGACTAATTTCCTCCATTTGAACTGCTCATACAAATACCCACATGCAAAGATATACTTTAATAGTCAATAATTATTCATAAATTACACATAACCATGAAAATAAGAAAGTATTCATAAGCAAAACTGTAAGTTGTATTCCGGGTTTGTTCAGCGTTACTATGTCATACATTGCTCCTTTTAACAACTATGTCGGACGACGACGCAATAACACTGCCACCGGAGCACATCGCAAGACAGTTTAAATCAACACAAGTAGGGCAGATAGTAGTGCTCTTATTAACTGTTTCTTAAATACAAGCGATACGTAAAAAGTTCTCTGGTGTTTTTCCCACTTCTGGTCGCTGCACACGTTTGGACAACGTACAGCGGACTTCGGATTTCGGAGTTTCAGATACAAGGCAATGATACGGGGATATCATAGGCATTAAATCCATGAAAATAATGAAACGTTTTACATAAACATGTCTATCTGTATAACAGGGGTTCATGAATCTGAAGCTATACTCGGTTGCCTGACGTCAAATGTCTCCTTGTTTGTTCAAACCGTTCTGCTTTGGGATATGATAATGACATGGATGTGTATAATGTATACTGTGAACAGGGCGTTACAGCAGAGCGGTATTCATTGAATGTACCCGTATTACAGGCAGCCAACCGTCATGTCGTATATAAAGCGCCACGTCACTACACATAGGACAGTCCTAGTTTCTCTTTCCTTATGCGTTTTACAGAAAGGATGTGAGGACAAAGTCACACGGCTGACATTGCGTAGACAGAGCTATGGATAGAGAGGACAGAGAGGTGATAGCTCCGTACTTCACGGGGAAGAACAAGGCACTGAAGCTGACTGAAGTGTTGGAAATACTGGAGAACCCTGATGACACAAGGGCTTTAGTAACACCCCCTGCTAAACCCCATGGAGGAGACGGGTACTTGTACAGGGTGGAGGCAGACTCGGCGGAAGGTAGGTTGCATGTCTTGAAGTTTAAACATAAATAAAAATGCATAAGCTGATGAGTATTAATAAAGGGAGGATTAATAATGAAATAAGACAGTATTAATGAAACACTAAATGTGATTATTTGTATTATTTATTGTAATGTGACATGTTGTGGGATGTGGTGTGGTTGGGTCGAATGGGTGGGTACTGGGAGCAAGTAGCAGGTGTCAAATAGTCAAAGGAGCCAAAGACCCGTGAAGATCCGGGGAAGAATTTATAGGTCTTCAGCAACACCTGTTTGCCGTAAAAGGCGACAATACTTGTAGTAAGAGGCGACTAACGGGATCGGGTGGTCAGGCTCACTGACTTGGTTGATGCATGTCGTCAATCCCAATTCCGTGTATCGAGGCTCATGATATCAATCACTGGATTGTCTGGTCCAGACTCGATTATTTACAGACCGCCGTCATACAGCTGGTCTATTACTTGGTGTGGCGTTAAACAACAAACAAACAAAAAACAAAAAAACGGAGTGGCATTTGGAAGGAGGGTAGTCATTGTTTCTATAATAGTCCTGGGCTCGAATCTCAGATTTGTCTTTTATGTGATTCTGGGCTTGAAAACGTCGATGACCTATGAAGATCTACGCAATTTTACGCCACCACTCCACTTTACCAAATGTTACTTTACTCATGCTTTAGCCTTCACAATGTAGAGATGAATAGCGACCTACTAGACCCACTTATCCCAATGAAAAATACAAATATAGTTGACTAAACGTTCACATACTAGTATGCTGTGATCGCGATCGTGATATCAGTTATATTTACACACACGTAAGGTTTAAATATAACCCGCTATTGACACAGTCAACACGTACATAGGGAATGACAGCTCATCGTTCGCTTCGTGGCCATGAGCCGGATCTTGCAAGGCAATATACGTACTCGTGTTACCTGTAATGACAAAAACGTTCCCGACTGCAACTCGTAAATAGCACCCCGATCTGAGGCCTTGCAACGCACAACCAAGCTCTTTGTATTGATTCAGGTTGCAGATCATTGCACGTAGCTAGGCAGTGATAATGAAAACATTGTACGCTAAATAGCATTGGCAGTTTCTCTTTCCAAACGCTACTTTTGATGCAGAAAAACAAAACAACTAAAGTATTGCACTTAAAGAACATACGAGGAAGTTGATTGTCAATGTGTTGATTTTTTGGGCCAATGGCAAATATTCACTATGAAAGTTTGCTTGCATGTGCGGTACTGATCAGGAAGCAGATGCACTGCAAATCCCTTGTACATAATATTGTGGCAACATTATTTAACATTTTGTGATATTTTTTACATTGTCTCATATTTACAAGTTTCAATTTATTCATAAATTAGAACGTGTTCTTGTCATCTTTGGTCTGAAGAAAGCCACCTTCTAAATTTGGATTTAGACTGTTTGCCGTGAACAACGTGACATCCAGATTTGTCATTAGTAGACACTGACTATAACCTTCACATTGTGTCCTTAATAATAGTTCGTTATTGAAAATTCTGTTTGATGGTGGACGTGGATGTAGGCTTGATTCTGTGTTTATATTAAATTATGATCATTGCAGCAGATACCAACTATAAACCAGAAAACATTGAATCAACTGACGCGAATTTTACGGGAAAAACATGATCGAATCTGTATGTATATTATATGAATTATTTTTTGCAGCAGATCCCAAATATATAACCCAAATATATATCCCAAATACATAACCGTAACTAACACCTAACCGACCGAAATGACGTCTTGTAATCATTAAGTTATTGACATTTGTAATTCATTTCGTCTTGCTCTACAGACTCCTGGAAAAATGACAACTACTACTTCAAGCATAATGGTTCTCGTGAACAGCCCAAACCTGCACCCAAGGTTCTCAAGCAGTACTTCGTGGCTTATAAAAGTGATGGCAGCACCACCAAGGCTTTTAAACGACAGGCATACAACTTGCTCGAGGGAGACGTGAAATATATGTTAGTACACTACATTGGGAAATTCACCGTAGCATTATCCGATCCAAAATATGAGAAGCGTTTGAATACAGCCCTCCACCATGAATCCCAGATAGTGAACAGTTACGCGAGAATAGCTGGTTCTGGAGATGAAGATGGTGGAGATTGGGAGACCAGGGATATGGAATGTGATCATGATCGTGCAAATACTAACTCTCCTACTTTCCTGGCTTCCTTAGATGAAGTTAGCTCAAGGAAAAGGACACATGACCCTGATATGGTAAATCGTGTGAAAACTCCTAAACGTTCAGAAAACGAACGAGTTATAGAAAAGATTTTGATGGACATAACCACCGAATGTGTTAGTCATCAACATGATGAAAGAGCGACCAGCCTCAAGTCACTCACCGAATATTTGCTGAACAAACGTACTCATATCGTTATCGCAAGACGTCTGTTGAAGCAGACAAAATACTGGGAGAAAAGCACCAGCTTTTCTACCTTTGACAGTCCATGTTTATCATTAATCGCTGACATCGACTGTAAATGGAGAAATGACCTCACAGAAGTCAGTGGCAGGTTGAAATGGTCACGACTTAGCCCGGATGTTCTCGGCGAGGACCAGTGCAAGGAGACGTATCACAGACTGGTATCTGCTGTCATAGTAGGTGCATATCACATGAAGACGGACATCACAGAGTTTGTTGACACCCTCTATATGTACCCATCACATGTGATGGGTGACAACGCCTTAACAGATGACGACGATGGGACGGATCCTCAGATGTGCAAGGTGGGGCCCCACAACATACAGAGGAATCATCTCCTCGATCAAACAGCATGGCTTGGCGATGAGGTAATTTTTACGATTTCGTAGCTTATATTTTGCTCTTTATGTATTATATAATTTTATTCTGAAAATCCTTTCTAAAAGTTTAACATTACTTGGACAAATTAAAGGTACAAAATCGACCAGGACCATCTTCCTTCTCGGTCGTGGTCGGTAGGCCATGTCAAATAATGATATCAGGAATAACATTATTAAAAATGAAAATTGTACAATATTGATAGATGATAAAAAGACCATTTGTTCCAATAGTTGAAATTGCTTACAGGCCAAATAACATTAACTCGCTAAATCGTTATTTGAGCAGTTCAGACAGGATATATGTTGCAATAATGTTTTTCTAAATTGCTGGTTGTAACACGTGACGAAGGGGTTTTGTATACAGGAAACTAAGGTTATAACGAACTCAAAGGGACTGCTAATTTTAGTTCGTTATAACCGTAGTTCGTTATAAGCATATATATAGCATAACTACAGCAAATAGTCGGGACCAAAACAGTAAGTTCGTTATATCCGTCAGTTCGTTATAAGCGTGTTCGTTATAACCGTACTTTAACCTCCATTGCAGGTGATGAATGCATACATGCATGTCCTGAAGACCACGTGGAATAGGATCCACAGCCGCCACTGCGCTGTACTTGATTCCTTCCTTGTCAACCATTGGGAGAAAGACGAGTATGACGTGCACCCCTGCAAGGTTGGACGAGCATAGTCATGTACATTGTATAAAGTGATGAGTAAAGTACTGGTATTAGGTTTTCGTCCAAAGATGGAAATTAAAGAGACTTTTGAAGATCTTCGATTCGGTTATGGATCCTTGTTTAGCATCTACTTTAGGCTCTAAGAGATATGAGGTCGGTTTTGGAGACAGTTCATTGAAGATCTAGAACAGCAGTTTTCCTTTTCCAAGAATATCATCACTGGACATATGTCAACATGCTATGTGCAGTAAACTACGGTTATAACGAGGTTTAATGGCCGCTTTCAACAGTGTTCCAATTATTTCACAGTGTGTCAGATTAATGTGGGAGGAAAGCAAGAAGTGATGCAGGTTTCAGACATTAACCACTTTAGTTATTGAGTTTGAAATGTTCAATATCATAGCCATTTCAACATAAGTATCATACGCATGTATCCAAATCAGAGGGAAGTAATCGTTTGGATATGCTAATATCAGTAAACTTGATCAAATGGAAAAGAACTTATTGTAAATTATAATACAGTAATCTGTAGATAGACATACGTCTATGTGGTTAAAGAGCATCAAATGAACCTTGCTTGATCAGGGTAAAACATTCAAGACCATATTATTTTCCTTTTCACCAAAACCTTTACTGTAAATAAAAGCGACATAACCCTTTCCTCATTCTAGCTTGTCCCCCATCTCAGTGGAGCTCCTTTTTTAATATAAATGTATGTGCTTCTTTCCTTTTTTGGAAACCAGGCGTTAGTCTGAAAAGCATTAAAATGTTTGGTTTGTATCAGTGACAAACACGATGCAATTCCATGTTTTGACTTTTGTACAATAATTATGTCTCTGTTTCTCGGGCGACCGGTTGACTTGTCTTTGCATGTGTTTGTGACAGGTGCCACCGGTGGACAGAATACGGTCACCTTTTGCGAACTGGTATTGTCACTATTTGCCAGTGATTTATTAGCACATGCTCGTGATATAGTCGGTATCATTCAAGGTGTTTGTTTTAATTATGGCAATGATTTTGCGGATTTATTTTATATTAGGAGGAACTTGGAACTTACACGTGGATCCTGATGCCAGTGAACATGCCACTGAATCAACACTGGGTGCTTCTGGTCGCCAATGTCCAGGATGGAACAGTGGGCGTGGTCAACTCTAAGCCTGTCCTTGATGTAGGGGACAAACTTATACAACATTGGAGGTAATTTGAGGGCGTGGTCAGCTATATGTAGAGATAAACCTTTATCATCCAAAACTGATATCGCTTGGGTGAGATCAAGTGATATATATAGTTTAGATATTGCTGCAACATAATTGCATCAAACTGTTTTGCAGACCATAGTGACGTCATTGGTTACCACGACGTCACAAATGACATCACTAATGACTGCTACTGAAGCTGTTAGCAATACTTTTTACACTAAAGACACTGCGTATTACTGCTACAAACTGAAACAGCTGGCAGAATGATGTTGGATGATAAATTAAAGCTCACCCTTGTGTCTTTTGATGTCAAATATATCAACACTCGTTGATATTTTTTACTCTAAAAGACACTCTAGTGAGATTCTCTATGAACAACACTGTAAGTAGGTGGGCCGAACAGGTGATGTGGTCAACTCACAGCCTACAATTGATGAAGACTACTGCGCTGACCAGGGCTGGGGTACACACTGATGAATGTCTGCTACCGATTTTGAAACAAAAGCTGCAATCTGGCTCAGCTACAAACATGTATAGTTAATCAGTCCTAAATGTATAGCGCTAGGTTGTAGGTGGGTTTGAGACAGGGGAAACAAATAGAGGTCGTAAACTATATCCTATATCTATTTCAGAAAATATACACGCTGTTTGAGGAGAGGTGATGGGTCAGTGATCACATGGACAAAGACAGAATATCCAGTACTGAGTCAAAGTGATGGACATAGCTGTGGCGTGTTTGTGAATATGGTACGTGAGCTAGATAAGATATATAAATCTTTCATTATTGAATAATATCAATGATAAGAGCATATACAGCTAAACATGATGAATTGCTATAATTTATTATACAGTTTAAATTTCTCAACATTTCCACTTTTTTCACTAAATCTTCTGCAATTCCACCCAGCATGGGAACTATATTACAAATGTCAATCGCATGAGCATGCTCTTGGGTACTTGCCATTCAAATGTGTCATTATCAAAATATATTTCTAGTACTATCTTAACATACCATATCAGTATTAATATACTGATCCGTTTCTACGATATGTGTTTACTTAAATTTCCATAGTTCTAACAAGTTTTTTTATACAGTACGTTTGTATTAAAAACAAAAGCAAGAAGACAATGTGGACTTTTATTTTTAAATATAATATATTTCAATGTGTACAATGTATTCTGGCACTCTAAATCGACATTCAACGGGATCATGCTGTTGGAAAAAGGCTCTGAGTGAGTGAGTGAGCAAGCGAGCTTGGTTTCACGCCACCTTTAGCAATGTTCCAGCAATAGCGCGGTAGGGGACCCTAGAAATGGGCTTCAAACATTGTACCCGGGAATTGAACCCGGATCTTCGGCGTGATGAGTGAAAGCTTTGACCACTGGGCTACCCCACCCCACTGACCTGATATGAGACCGTATACCGTCAGTAACAGCCATTTAGGATTTTCATACACCAACTTCACATATTTCACAAGAATATTCTGGTACAGAAATCCGTTATTTGACACGGTTTTGTGTATTAATGAAATTAATTGTGATGTGCAAAGACATCAATTTTTAAAACAACTACGTTCGTGACTTCATTACTAAAATTAATAGAGGAAAAAGGCTCACAACAGAGGTCATTGAACATAAAAGATGACGTCACGAACAATAAACGCAACGCCAATAACGTCACATAGCAGTAGACCAGATAGAAGTCCATTGTTAGGGATAAGCGGACTGCTATCAAGTTACAGTTGACACCAGACTCCTGTTAACATAGGTCAGTTTTATTATAATTCTATCTTGTTTAAACGTTAACGTTTAGTGCTTTATTTATTCCATTGTTAACGTTTGTGTTTACATTAGAGCGTTGTATCGGAAACACGCCTTGCCCAATGTTTTTCTCTTTACCTAATATGACACCGTATACTGCCACTATAGACACCTTAGGGGTCAAACACTGAAGAACAGTGCTTTATTTTTTTGTCAATTATTCGTCACCAGTGGCTCTATATTGTTACAGGCAGCAGAAGCTGTACTATCGGAGGTGCCTCCCAGTGTCATGAGAAGCTGCCACACTGTCTGGTACAGGAAGTACATCTGGCGCAGGTTGCGAGAATATGCTGGTGAACATATTCCGCCTGATACTGACACACATAGTGAGTATAAGTATTGTTTTCCAAATATACCTCAAAACCTAAATACATACAAAAGACAAAAAACATTCCATATTCATGGTACACAATCAGAGTCGACCATGTCATTGGCATGTGTTTATGAATCACTACCAAATAGTGTGTTCACGACAAGGTGAACATATCCTGCCAATAGCAATATATATCCCACAACAAAACTAGAATGTCCAAACCCACGTACCACTGGGCGTACTTCTTATGTCAGAAAACTTTGTTATTATTCGTTTCCCGCTAAATCTAGCATTGTCGTACCACGTTTATGTACTGTAAGACGCAAGTTAGGGACAATTCATAAAGCGGTTCAGTTTATATGTTTGTTTAACGCCCCACTCAGCAATATTCCAGCTATATGACTGCGGACTGTAAATAATCGAGTCTGGACCAGACAATCCAGTGATTGATATCATGATCATCGATTCACGCAATCGGGATACGCTGTTATGCTTAACCAAGTCAGCGAGCCTGACCACCCGATCCCGTTACAAGCATAGTCGCCTTTTACAGTCAAACATGGGAAGCTAATATTTGTTACAAGTGTTGTGCTGAACTGAATATCAAGCATGTTGATGGTTAGGTTTTTAAGTAGTTCAATACTACTGAATAACTATATATTAGACAAATTGCATTAGAATGCTTAGAGACATTAACGTGAGTTATTAGATTGACACCCGCTGCTGGCTTGTTTCCAGCTATTCGAAAAACTAAAACCAGTAGCGAATCCACTGCTCCTGAATTAGCTGTATTACGCTCGGTCATTCGCCGGTCGGTCATCACCACAACGTGGGTTTTCTGTATCAGTTCTGGTGTTGCTGACTTCACAGGCCTTCCAGGACGGGGGTCGTCTTCAAGGCACTCCCTGTTACACTCAAACTCTGCTGCCTAACTCGTTATGTTGACAGTGGGACATACTTCCCTAGTGCTGTATTCATATCTTCATGGATGGCTTTTGGCTTTGTTATATAAATCCTTTTTTTCTGCAATTCCACTTGACTGCACATTCCTAAAATTTGTCCATTTTCCAAAGGTCACAGACCTCTGCTTGTTTTGATTACTTTTGCGCAATTCCTTCTATCAGAGTCTCAGATATCAGTCAACCATCGTTGCTGATACATTGCTGAGAGAATATTGTCATTCACTCACTCACTTATTATTCACATGTTTTTAATGATGAAGTAACAGGTATTATTTCCAATGTTGAAGTGAAATATTAAAGCAAGTACATCGTACATGTTACAGGTTGTATTGAAATGTTTGTAATATTTCTTGTTATTCAAGTACGAGTGGAGCCTGGCATACTGGAAAGTGTCCGGACCTCTATATTTGCAATGGGCAAAAACTTAATATTAATATTGCTATCACAGGATATTCAACAAATCCCGATTTGACGAAATATAACAATGTAGAGGGGTTGTATGTCGGTTATGATAAAGGAAGACAACTATTAAAATATGTTCCTAAATTCCGTGTTTTCACTTGTACCATATGTTACCATGTTTCGCAAATTACCAATTGACTTGCCTTTGCATGTGTTTGTGATGTGTATCACCAGCAGGACAGGATATGTTCGCCTTTTCGTGGACACCTGATATTTGATAGGGATTAAAAAACACATGCTCATGAACGGTCATAGAGGATCATCAAATATATGTGAATTTTATATGTTGGCACATGGTGTTTATTGTGGTTGATACATAGATTTACAAAGAAAACAGCATGTACAAAAGCCAAAATCTCTTTAATGTCGATTCAAGTAGTAAACATTGTAAGCGTTAAAATATATAATGATTAAAAGTGTGTTTATTTCAAATATATTGCTAAATGATGAATTAACCTGTTTGGTTCTGTATTTGAAATATCGTTGTCCTTCTTGCAGTGCTTGAGTCTCCATGTGAAAAGCTGACAAATAATCCAGCGTCAACGAATGCCAGAGCGTTTGCGTATACAATAGTCAATATGTCGACCAGCATAGATGATACGAGATACAGTTTGCATAAAGCAGCCAGCCTCGGTGATATAAGACGCATGCACTTGTTGATAGACCAGGGGGAGGATGTAGCAGGTACCGATGACCGAGGATGGACGCCTTTGCACTGTGCCTGTGAAAACGGTCACGTTGAAGCTGTCTCTGATCTGGTTTCCAGGAGGACGGGCGACGTACAAAATAGAGCTCAACTTACATTGTACAATCCTGTCTTAGGAACGGAGTATACGTATCTAGCAGGAGCATATCCACTCCACATTGCTTGTTTAAATGGACATGAGAATGTAGCGCACATTTTGATCAATAGCGAGGCAAATGTTGACGACAAAAGTGAAAATGGAACAACAGCTCTTTTTCTTGCTTCTATTAACGGACATGAATCTGTAGCCGCACTTCTGATCAAGAATGGTGCAAGTGTTACAGCTGAGGACGAGGGCGGATGGACGGCACTATATGTAGCTTGTCAGAATGGACATGAATCTGTAGCCGCACTTCTGATCAAGAATGGTGCAAGTGTTACAGCTGAGGACAAGGACGGATGGACGGCACTATATGTAGCTTGTCAGAATGGACATGAATCTGTAGCCGCACTTCTGATCAAGAATGGTGCAAGTGTTACAGCTGAGGACGAGGGCGGATGGACGGCACTATATGTAGCTTGTCAGAATGGACATGAATCTGTAGCCGCACTTCTGATCAAGAGTGGCGCTAGTGTTACAGCTGTTAATAAGAACGGACAGACGGCACTACATCAAGCTTGTCATGATGGGCATGAATCTGTAGCCGCACTTCTGATCAAGAATGGTGCAAGTGTTACAGTTCAGGACGAGGACGGATGGACGGCACTATATGTAGCTTGTCAGAATGGACATGAATCTGTAGCCGCACTTCTGATCAAGAATGGTGCAAGTGTTACAGCTGAGGACAAGGACGGATGGACGGCACTACATCTAGCTTGTCAGAATGGACATGAATCTGTAGCCGCACTTCTGGTCAATAGTGGTGCAAGTGTTACAGCTGAAGACAAGGACGGATGGACGGCACTATATGTAGCTTGTCAGGACGGACATGAATCTGTAGCCGCACTTCTGATCAAGAATGGTGCAAGTGTTACAGCTGAGGACAAGGACGGATGGACGGCACTATATGTAGCTTGTCAGAATGGACATGAATCTGTAGCCACACTTCTGATCAAGAATGGTGCAAGTGTTACAGCTGAGGACGAGGGCGGATGGACGGCACTATATGTAGCTTGTCAGAATGGACATGAATCTGTAGCCGCACTTCTGATCAAGAGTGGCGCTAGTGTTACAGCTGTTAATAAGAACGGACAGACGGCACTACATGTAGCTTGTCAGAATGGACATGAATCTGTAGCCGCACTTCTGATCAAGAGTGGCGCTAGTGTTACAGCTGTTAATAAGAACGGACAGACGGCACTACATCAAGCTTGTCAGGATGGGCATGAATCTGTAGCCGCACTTCTGATCAAGAATGGTGCAAGTGTTACAGTTGAGGACGAGGACGGATGGACGGCACTATATGTAGCTTGTCAGAATGGACATGAATCTGTAGCCGCACTTCTGATCAAGAATGGTGCAAGTGTTACAGCTGAGGACAAGGACGGATGGACGGCACTACATCTAGCTTGTCAGAATGGACATGAATCTGTAGCCGCACTTTTGGTCAATAGTGGTGCAAGTGTTACAGCTGAAGACAAGTACGGATGGACGGCACTACATCGAGCTTGTCAGGATGGACATGAATCTGTAGCCGCACTTCTGATCAAGAATGGTGCAAGTGTTACAGCTGAGGACAAGGACGGATGGACGGCACTATATGTAGCTTGTCAGAATGGACATGAATCTGTAGCCGCACTTCTGATCAAGAATGGTGCAAGTGTTACAGCTGAGGACGAGGACGGATGGACGGCACTATATGTAGCTTGTCAGAATGGATATGAATCTGTAGCCGCACTTCTGATCAAGAGTGGCGCTAGTGTTACAGCTGTTAATAAGAACGGACAGACGGCACTACATGTAGCTTGTCAGAATGGACATGAATCTGTAGCCGCACTTCTGATCAAGAGTGGCGCTAGTGTTACAGCTGTTAATAAGAACGGACAGACGGCACTACATCAAGCTTGTCAGGATGGGCATGAATCTGTAGCCGCACTTCTGATCAAGAATGGTGCAAGTGTTACAGCTGAGGACGAGGACGGATGGACGGCACTATATGTAGCTTATCAGAATGGACATGAATCTGTAGCCGCACTTCTGATCAAGAATGGTGCAAGTGTTACAGTTGAGGACGAGGACGGATGGACGGCACTGCATGAAGCTTGTGAGAATGGACATGAATCTGTAGCCGCACTTCTGATCAAGAGTGGTGCAGAGGTTACAGCTGAGGACAAGGACCGATGGACGGCACTACATGTAGCTTGTCAGAATGGACATGAATCTGTAGCCGCACTTCTGATCAAGAATGGTGCAAGTGTTACAGCTGAGGAGAAGGACGGATCGACGGCACTACATCTAGCTTGTCAGAATGGACATGAATCTGTAGCCGCACTTCTGATCAAGAATGGTGCAAGTGTTACAGCTGAGGACAAGGACGGATGGACGGCACTATATGTAGCTTGTCAGAATGGACATGAATCTGTAGCCGCACTTCTGGTCAATAGTGGTGCAAGTGTTACAGTTGAGGACAAGTACGGATGGACGGCACTATATGTAGCTTGTCATAATGGACATGAATCTGTAGCCGCACTTCTGATCAAGAGTGGTGCAAGTGTTACAGCTGAGGAGAAGAACGGATGGACGCCACTACATCTAGCTTGCCAGAATGGACATGAATCTGTAGCCGCACTTCTGATCAAGAATGGTGCAAGTGTTACAGCTGAACATAAAGACGGACGAACGGCATTACATCAAGCTTGTCAGAATGGACATGAATCTGTAGCCGCACTTCTGATCAAGAATGGTGCAAGTGTTACAGCTGAGGAGAAGGACGGATGGACGGCACTACATCTAGCTTGTCAGAATGGACATGAATCTGTAGCCGCACTTCTGATCAAGAATGGTGCAAGTGTTACAGCTGAGGACAAGGACGGATGGACGGCACTATATATAGCTTGTCAGAATGGACATGAATCTGTAGCCGCACTTCTGGTCAATAGTGGTGCAAGTGTTACAGCTGAGGAGAAGGACGGATGGACGGCACTACATCTAGCTTGTCAGAATGGACATGAATCTGTAGCCGCACTTCTGATCAAGAATGGTGCAAGTGTTACAGCTGAGGAGAAGAACGGATCGACGGCACTACATCTAGCTTGCCAGAATGGACATGAATCTGTAGCCGCACTTCTGATCAAGAATGGTGCAAGTGTTACAGCTGAGGACAAGGACCGATGGACGGCACTACATGTAGCTTGTCAGAATGGACATGAATCTGTAGCCGCACTTCTGATCAAGAATGGTGCAAGTGTTACAGCTGAGGAGAAGGACGGATGGACGACACTACATGTAGCTTGTCAGAATGGACATGAATCTGTAGCCGCACTTCTGATCAAGAATGGTGCAAGTGTTACAGCTGAGGAGAAGGGCGGATGGACGGCACTACGTGTAGCTTGTCAGAATGGACATGAATCTGTAGCCGCACTTCTGATCAAGAGTGGCGCTAGTGTTACAGCTGAGGACGAGGACGGATGGACGGCACTACATCTAGCTTGTCAGAATGGACATGAATCTGTAGCCGCACTTCTGATCAAGAGTGGCGCTAGTGTTACAGCTGAGGACAAGGACGGATGGACGGCACTAGATCTAGCTTGTTTTAAATGGGAATGAATCTGTAGCCGCACTTCTGGTCAAGAATTGTGCAAGTATTACAGCTGAGGACAAGGACGGATGGAATAAAGAGTAAATAATAGCCAACTTTAGTACTACTATTACAGTCTGAAGTACGTGTAACAGATGTCGCGTCTCCTTGGGCAAGTGACTTTGTTCGAATTGTCCCTTTTTTCCACCCAGCAGTGAGCGGGTACCCGGTAGGATGAGATGGCAATGTGGTTGTTAACCTTCTAGCGCCTAACAGGCAGCTTTGTTTGTATACTCTCCATTGAGCTGAGAATGATTTTTGGGTGAACACTTTTCAATGTCTAAGCTTAGAGTATGCTTGTGCATGGAGAACAGCGCCATTCAAATAACGTGGATTTTATGTCCGCTTTCGGGTTTGATTTTTATTTGTTGCAAGGTCATAGGAGTTGCCTACCATGTCAGTTTTCGCAACTGTCCTTGTTTCATGGACAGAGGTTCATATAAACCATGAAACGTTTACTCAAATACATGTCTGATTTGTATTACTGTCCAATGATATTTAAAATGCTTTGAATAATAAAAAGAAATATTCAGAGAATGTTATTGGTGCCTTTCAGCTAAATTACAAAATGTTATTGAGTTACTTGTGTCTAATACCTGAACATGACCTACTTTCAGTTATGTTATCAATGTCAAATATTGAGTTATAGATTCAGTGCCCAAGGGACGCAACTCTGCACAGCGAATCGCGGCGCATCCGTGCCCCCCGAGTTATAGATTCATGATTGAAATCATTCTTATGGCACCCAATAATTGCTTTTATCCTATGAGTCATAACTGGTTTTGTAAAACTCACAATCCAAGTGCATACCTTTAGAAAAACAATACTATGTTGAACATTTATTCTTTTTTGGTTTTTTTAAATAAAACTTTAAATGTTTATACGATTCTGTTAAATCATTTCATCTTCTGGGGAGAAGAGGTGGCCTAGTGGTTAAAGTGTCCGTTCGTTCTGGGAGTTTGATTCCCCACATTGGTACATTGTGTGAAACTCAAGGCTGGAATACTAAAAATAAGATTGTGTTCTTTAATCCGATTGGTTGAAAAACATGATTTACATCAGTTTGTCTGACTGATAACTGAACTTACTTAAATTAAATTTAAAATGAATAAGTTACCAAGACTAGAACACGCGTACGCCAGCAGACAAAATATCCGGCCCGTGAAGAGAATTAGAATTAGGTCTTCAGCAAACAATGCCTGCTCATAGAGTCGCAAGCTCCGACGTTCATACAGTTTGGCCCTACACTCTATGAAGGTTCATACTCCAATGAACTCGCACAAAGTGAAGATCAATTCTTAATTGAATGCATTGAATTTCATTTCCAAAATATAAACCACATAGTGACCAAGAATTACATCCATCGGGCACTCACATTAAAAAAAGGAAGCCAAATTCTTGGGAATAAGTTTTAAAGACCATCTTAATTTCTAGCCATATGTTAAAAATCTTAGCAAATGGCTGAAGGAACTGGATTTATCAGGTCGGGGAAAACCCCCAACTGGTGACAATGAACCCAACTGGTGACAATGAACCCAACTGGTGACAATGAACCCAACTGGTGACCATGAACCCAACTGGTAGAATAAACTGGTCCTGTGTGGCTACAAAAACCTTGCGGTGTTTTGTCCGTGCGTTGTCTGTACTACTTGGCGCATGATGGTGCGTATAAAATTCATTATCAAAACTTCTTTCATTCATCGATTCTTATAATATTACCCCGTTTGTTGCGCAGGTTATTGTGAACCCGAGTACCTCTTCGCCATTTGGACGGTTCATTCGCGTTACGCCGACTTTCAGAAAAGATTATTCGCGTTACGCGGTTTTTCTTTGATGTGTGCGTGTTATGTTAACACACGAGGTTGTTACAAGCAAGCAATGAATGGTGTTTTTGGATGGTGTTCACGACACGTTCTAACAGTAGAAACAACAGATTTATGATGCATTTTGTGTCGTTTATTCCACACATTATATAGTATCAAAAGCAGCGACATGACAAATTTCAATTTGGTACAACGAACAGAACATGATTTACATGAATTATTACATTTTTTTAACTTAATTAGAATTGCTGATGCAACATCGGCACAGTGGACGATGTCGATTTCTTGCCTCTCCAGCCTCATCTTCAAATTGGCGATCTTGCGGTCGACTTCTGAGTATTTCTTCTTCTTGGGAGGTCTCTTCTGAACTGCTTCGTACTGCGCTCTAAATTTCCGAGGACTTCTTTGGAAAGGAAGGTAATCATCTCGAAAATGTTGGGATGTGCCTTTCACGTGATCTTCAGTCGACTGTGCCATCCCTCCAGGTAGTTGTTTGTACGTGGCCCATCATTGTTGAAGTGGTTCCACTGGTTGATGTGGAGATCGCACTCGATCCACTTGCTGGTCATGTAGTCTGCAAGTCTTTGACATCTTTCATCGTCTGGAACGCGCTCCATTAGGTCAAGGAAGTAGTCTTCAACCTTAAGATAAAAATGTAATCCTGTCAGTTTCACACATTAACATGCATATTGAATATATTACACATTAACATGTATATTACGTATATCAAGTTAATAGAGTCTAATCTAACGGTCTGGTTACTACTTACATTGCCAACAGGAATGAGTGGCATTATTGCACACTGCTTGACGAACTTTGTAATCTCTGGTCTGTCAGTATAGTCTTTCTGCATGTTGCACTGTTGGGTCTTCCGCCATACACACTGGGCAAAGTGGAAGAAGCATCCCTTCCATGTGGCACGAGGAAACCGCGATATGGCAGCATTCCTGGCAGCGACTTCGAAGTCCATCTGATGAAAATAAATTAAAATTTATTATGATTTTTAAAGTTTATTTTGACCCCAAATGTCTAAAGGTCGGCGTAACGTGAAGACACCATTTGGACACATTCTGTGCTTTAAATCAATCAAAAACACTAAATTGAAAGTCAAAAATTACCTGAAATGTACTTTGTCAACCACTCTCTCCGTCCACCATGCTTCCTACTCTGACCCGCCACCTGCAGTCCAGGCAGTCAGGTAACGCCCAATTCGGGCCTTGGCGTCAGTGATCAATTGAAATTTTTTGAAATAGTTCGCGCTGCATTGCTAAAAGTGGCAATAAGTGTAGGCAATTCATAGTCTTTGTGCTGTATCATAATGTTTTTATGGACATTTAACTGTTGAATATACATGTGTATGTATTACAAATAAATTTCGTTGTTATTTATGAAAAGAAGTATAAAATATTGTTATGTTGGTAAAATTTGTTTCAGGATGTTAAAGTAAAAAAATCCACAAAGAGGAATCAATGGCAGTGGGTGGGCTTTTCTGACTCTTTGCGATCTTCTGGCGTAATGAAGAGTTTCTTCACTGTGGGTCTTCCACCCTTTTCTAGAAGATTCTCCTTAATCATTATTTCTCTGAAATAATTTCGGAAATAAATGTCACTATTTTCCTAATAAACACAAAAAATAATCTGTGTATGTGTGTGTGTGCGTGTGCGTGTGCGTGCGTGCGTCAGAGTCAGAGAAAATGGCGTCGTGCCACTGCTATACATCTGGATCTAACACGTGATTTTGTCCAGGCCTGTCAGGTGGGGGGTGCAAGGGCTTGCCTCTAAATGCTTGCTTATTCTAAGCCAAGATCTCCACCCTGCTATCTCCGGCGACAGGGAATTGTCAGTAGCTCATCACCAACTGGCATCAGTATGTTGGTTTTCATCTGTTATACAAAATTATTGATTATAGAAGCCTACTTGGAGATCAGAGGATCTGATGCAAGTGATCCCCATCAGATGGCCACACCGGGGTATCAATGAGTCCCACAGGTATTTCACATGTTGTGATATACTATAAATTTTACAAACTTTTATAATCAATTTAAAACACATTATGTAGGTTTAATGAACCGCAAATATGCATATATTAATGTTTTCATTTTCTTCCAGCTTAACAAACGCGTTCCAATTAACAATGAAACGATTCATTTAATGAAACCCACACATCTTTCGCAAACTCAGGCTGCACCAATTTCAACAACCTCGCATGTTAGTACCCAAACTCCTGAACCGCTTCCAACACTGTATGGTCAACTTCAAACCCCAAACATCTACTTCTATCACTTACCCCGCGTCAAGAACTCCCACGGTTGAAACCACAACTGACATCACAAAAAGGTCCAACAAAAGACGTAAACAAAAACAAAGCAGTCATAACCAAACTATTTGTCCTATTTGTGACAGTTTATATGGGTGCACTGTGGACAATAATGCCAAGTGGATTGGTTGTGACTAAAAGGAAACCTTTTGCAATTATTGGGTGCATTGGGAATGCATCGGGATTTACGTCAGGAAAGTGGCTGATTTACAAAACATCACCTATCTATGCCCAGAGCATAACAAAATTGAAAGGTGTAAATAAAATGAAGATTATTAATATGATTTTGGTTATTTTGTCCCAACAAAGTTTTTTTGTGCATAATACTTGTTTTTATATTAAAAACATCCATTAGAATCGGATTCGAACTCGTATTCCCTTCACCCGCAGTCAGCGACGTTACCAAATGAGCTAAACTGCACATGTGAATGGAGCAGAATTAAAAGTACATACTTAAACTTACTTAAAACATTATTTAACTTTACAGACGTAGGTCATTTTAAAACATTCCACAGACTTTTGCGTACAATTTAAGTGATTGGTTTATGGCCCCATGTAGTTTTATCTGACCATCACGTCGAAAGCGTGTTGCGGATCAAGGAAATACGCTTTAAATAAATCAAGTTAAAATCTAAATATATACTTTTTCAAAAGAAGTTAAGAAGACTATGGTTAATTAGTCAAGGCTGATTGTATTGCAAACTACAATCTTATAAATGTGGGTGTTCTATAACTTGTTTTTGGTAGTGTATGATGTTACAGTATGTCATACTAATGTCCGTAAATATTCATTTTGACATTTGCTGTACGATCAATTTGAATTGTGTCTCTTGTTTTATGCACATCTACAAGTATATGTACTTGCATATAGTAATTTGATAAACACCGCTGTGAGTGAGTGAGAATGGTTTCACGTCGCTTTTAACAATAATCCAGCAATATCTCGTCGGGGAACGCCAGAAATGGGCTTCACACATTGTACCCATGTGGGGAATCGAACTGGGGCTTCGGCGTGGAGAGAGAACGCTTTAACCACTACGCTATCCCACTGCCCCATATCGCTTTGGCGTTATCACAGTTGATATGTGTACATGTGTAAACTACACATATGGAGAGACATCCTAATTAGTGTGGCCACAGAGTTGACGTTGATAACAATATGAAGTGCATTACTATGATTATCTATAACATATGTTAAATCAGCTACCATTGTAATATTTTATGTAAATATATTAAGTTTAGTTTTGTCATAATTATATATGTGAGTGTGTGTGTGTTTGTGTGTGTGTCTGACTCATTGTCTGTGTATATATACCTAATATATATCTAATTGATCTGTATTCAGAAGGGAAACATAACTGTGTAAATGTATAACTTTTTTTCTGCATGATGTACATG